GCGCCCCCAATTTCCTTGGATCTCCTTGTGAAATAGAATAGTGTCTATGTCGGCATACCAAGATTTGGGTGGGAGGATCTCTTGTTTGCAAAGAATTTGTTTAGACAGTCCAGGGAACTCTGATTAGGAGGAACGTACCAGGGAGGCAGAGACTCTGTCAGAAGCCAGAATACCAGATCCTTTGGGTGAAACTGATTATTCTCACAGCAAAAGTACTCATACCCCATGCAGAGATTCACAGATATTCACCACATCCACCACAGTCAGCAGTGCCTTTCAGAAAGAGCATTCAATGACCAACATCTCACATTCTCTCCTTCCCATCCTTCCCACAGATTGGTTTCACCTGCAGTGCTGGTGAATTCAATACCAGCCTAGAAACAGGACAAGATGTCATAGAAACAGTGAGTTCTAATATGATCTGTGAACCAGGAAGAGTGATTTTCAGATGCTCACGATGTCATCACCAGCAGAATTTAATTCAAGGAGCCCCCAATGATCGAACTTTATAAGAGAACAGATTTCCCATCAGGACCTTTCTGAACATCTCTTAGGCCAGTCCATCTCTGGATTTCTCATCCCTGAGACATGTAAGGCTCAAATCGATGAAGCCTGATGGAATCAACTTCCTTACTCCAAGGGGATCTTCACTGAAGTCTTTCCAGTGAAATATGTGGATATAAACATATAAGGTATATAGGCCTATTCTCTCCATAAGTAGAAAAGGAAATGGCAACCCACTCCAGTATTCTTGCCTGGAGAATTCCATGGACAGAGGAGCCTGGCAGAATACAGTCCATGGGGTCACAAAGAGTCAGACAAGACTGAGTGACTATCACTCACTCACTCTCCTTATGATGACTTAAGATGATTCCCAGTGATGTTAAGTAATCCCCAAACATGTTCTAAAGCCTATACTGATATTTTAATGATGGTGCGAAAACTTGGAATCTTCCTTTGAAACCTATTAAGTGTCACAGAAAAAAAAAAAAAGACTGGTATCAAAAAAGATATTGGTGCTCCAGGAACCAAAACATTATTGGTTACAAAATCATTTTTTCACTCTAAGGCAACTGCTACGGGCTCGATAGCAAGCTGGCTCCCAGCCAAAGCTGACAATAGACAGTCCAGGGGCATTTGAGGGCAGCTCTCTAGACTGGCAGTACATGGGCTCATGTGACAAACATCTACAGATGTTTCTCTGCTCCAGACGCTGAGCAAAGCACAAGGAACACCCCAGACCTCAAGGCTGTCTGTAGTAATAACCATACCTTGAGTGAAAACAATACTGCTGCCATTTGGTTTGGAAACGTGTGGCAAGGAAGTCACTCCTCACACCTGAATGGAGAAGAACTTTGATGAATGGTCTGCCACTTAAAACGCTGATGTCTTTTCAATGCCTTAGATCCTCGCAAAAGCAGGTGAAGGTAAAGATCGCCTGAATTTTGACTCAGATCACCAGCAACCTGTATGGAGTAAGCAGGCACACCATCTCCAAGTCTTGGAACAGTTTCTGCCAACTTTGGGTATGTTGGTGTTGAATGGAGTAGCATGACCAGTTGAGGGGGACAGGTTGGTGAGATAAACCAAGGGGCCAGTTGGCAGCCTTCCTTAAAAGTATGAAAATTGGGTCCTGGGCTTGTCTGCCTGACCTCCCTCCATCAACAACCCCCAGACTTAATCATCACTGAGTCTGTCTAATTTGGTTTCTATAATCAATATCTTAACCACTGATAATGCTCCCTCCTTCTCCTCCTTACCTATCTTTTATTTTCCCTCTTATTTCTAACAAGCAAGTCTTTAAAAAAAACTGTGAACATAACACAACATTTTTTAACTGAAAGAGACCTTAAGGATAACCATTCCAACTTTCTAAATGTCTCAGATGAGAAACGGGATAATCTGCAAGATTAGTTGACTTGGACAACGTCCCCTGAGAAACTAGAGCAAAGCCGGGAATCTCAGAGGTCTTTCCACCACTCCAGGTCACCATCTAACTTCCCATGTATTCTGTGCTCTCCAGGCAAGACTGCCCTGCTTTTGCTTCTGAGTTGAGTCTCATACAGCTCTAGAAATGGGCTGGTTGGCTGTTCTACCATTGGTGTTGGTTTCTGTAGTATTTTAGCACCAAAAATAGTTGCACTAGTGTAGTCCACAAAGTAAGCATCAGAGGAGAAAGACAGTCATGGTCAACCTGAACCCAGAAGGACCAAGGAACCGTTGCCTCCTGTACGAGGTCTCTTTCCAGGGATGATTTGCACACCATCTTCTGAGTGGAGGAAATATCAAGATTTTTGTCTGTTAAGTAAACAAGGCTTAGTGACCCTCAAGATCCACTCAGAGGTCAGGGATGTAATTAGAGGACAGCATTGGGTTCACCGCCAAAGTCAAGAAGAACTGGAAAGAACCCTGGCCATGGCAACTTATTCCCAAGTGGGCACCTAACAGCAAGTCACTCACACACAGTCTGGGGGGGACCAGGTGAGGAGGGTGTGGCAAGGAGACCAGCCTGGGGGACCTCGCGCGTCCACCACAGCTACAAAGGAGCTTGCATGATGCTACACCCCTTCCCAGTCACTCCGGCATGGATTTCTAAAGTGTGGAGTTTGGTAGTGGGCCATGAGATTGAACTAGATGGGGGTGGCCACATTGGCTAATGGGGTGTCATTTCAAAACCCATCTAACCACCTCCAGCTCTTTAAAAATAAATAAGCAAATAAATAACCCTTCACCAGGGCTTTTTGAGTGTGCGGGGAGGCTAGGAGGGTGAAGGAGACCTAAAGTAACCTCGAGCACTTCAGCTCTGCAGCTTTGTGACTGCCAAGGAGGAGAGGAGAATCTTCTCAGAAGCCACCCATGTTCAGAAGGATGAGCCCGAACTGCCCCCACCCACTCAGGACCTTCGGAGGGCACCCCCGGCATTCCAGAGTCGCCCTGAGAAAAAGGACACAGAGATTCAGGGCTGAGTCTAAGAATCTCAGAACAAAGAAAGGGCCAGAGTTGAGCAAGCACATCCTGCTTGCCACGGATGGAGACATGGAGACCGGGGCGGGGGGCACCTTCTCAGTCCCGTGCCCCTATAGAAGGAAACACCTCCTTGGCTCACCCCAGAGCCCCAAGGACCCTGTCCATTGCTGCATCCTCTGCCTCCTTCATTCTCCAAAAGAACTCTTGCTGTTTGCTACCCGCCAAGGTTAATAAGTCGGCGTGCAGACTACACAGAGCACACAGCAAGGGCGGTGAGAAAGCGAGCCCTCCCCCTCTGTATCCTTCACCTCGGACTCACACTGGAGGCAGCTGCCAACAATGGCTGTGACCAGGGCATGACCCCCAGGCCAACACAGAGGCCCGCGGGACTAGGACAAGGGAAATCTGACAACACCAGCCTCCGTGTTGGCACAGGAATTGCCTTCTTTCATCAGGCCAGGAGGACTCATCACCCTGTATTGAAACCCTGCCGCATTCTGAATTCCCAGTTGCCCACTGATCCCTTCTCACCTCCCCATCTTCGAGACCACCAGAGACTCTGAGGTTCTAGGAAGCTAGGTTCTGGGAACACACAGCCAGGAAGGTGGAAGCCACACAGTGTATGTGCTGGAGGTTGGGGATGAGGCAGCATCAGGAACCTTGGAGACTCATCTCTTGATAAGAGAAACTTCCTCCCAGGACCCCCTGATCATTCTCTCCTGGAACACCTGTCTTTCATTTAGCTAGGACCAAACCAGACTGCAGAGTTCAACCCAGCATCAGCAGCCCCGGAGTGGCCCGAGGGGTTACCGCCAGAGGACAGCACAGGATTCCTTTGAGGTGGTCCATCCCAAGAGCTCTTCTCAAAAGTCCTTGGGGCGGGGAGCACAGCACAGTGAGAAAGCCCACGCCCACCTCCAACTCCCTCCCCACCCCTCGCAGCCCACTCAGCAGCCTTGCCCATCCCCGAAGCCCACCTGTGCCCCACTGTCTGAGCACTGCTCTTTTCTATCCGAATAAAAATATTTGTGGGTCTTAAAAAAGAAGCAAAGCCACAAACACAGAATTCAGTCTCCCGAGCCCCATGCAGGATGACTGTCCAGCAGCTGACCAGAACATCCAGGCTGCCGATGGTCCCTTAAGCTGGCAGAGAGGGGCACAGGTCAGGGGACCCGGAGACGCCAGTTGGGCAAAAGGCCAGTCCACTCAGTAGCTCTGTGCCTGGGGCGAGGTGGACAGGCTGGGAGAAGCACAGCCTCTCTTCCCCAGCGGGAGGGCTCCCTGGGGCCAGGCTGTCAGATTCCACGGGCCTCTTGCGGTCTTGGGTCAAGGGGCCCGGAGACCCATCCCATCACAGTCCTTGACAGCGGCCACTGAGACGGCAGTGACCTCCCCGGTGCCGGGGCAGAGGCAGCTGGCCCCAGTCCAGATGCTCCTTCATTCTCTCTCCTTGGTCGGGGCTCCGTCCTCATTAAGATGCCCAGCCTGCGGCAGGGGCCGGCATTGGACGCCTCCCAAAGCAGCCTCGGCCCCTCCCCCGCCCCCAGCCCACAAAAGCGATTCCTCAGCCCCTGCATTTTCACAGTAGCTCAAAGGCAGATGCATCAATCCTTCCAGGGGCTGGAAACGTGAGGGGAATGCCAAGGGGCCAGGTGCAGGTGCCAAATAGATTCTCCCCTGCTGGCTCCTGCCCACACCATCGCCTGACTCTCTGAAATAAGCACTGCCTGGGCCTCTGGCTGGACCCGACCCCCTTTCCCAGCAGTGGGGTTTATCCGGGGCTTAACAGAGCTCCTGAGAAGTGGGAGCTAGAATCTAGAGGAGACAGGATGGGACACAGAGGAGCGAGGGACACACCTTCAAACACCTGCAAGGCATGAAGTCTCCTGCTGTTGGGACCCTGCTATATCCACATTTACAGACAACACGGGGGATGTCCAAACCCCCCTTATCTCCCTAGGAGCCTGAATGTGGGAGGCGAGGCCAAGGAGTCTTTGCCTGATGGAAAGACAGAAGGCAGTGCCATGACAGGGTTCAGATTTCAGCTTTTAATTCTGTGGCTCTTTAAATCCAGAAAGTCCCGTTTTTGAAGTTCAGAGGATAGATGACACATCTCTTTCAGATTTAGAAAGGAAGGCGCGGTGTACACCCAGATGGATGTAGTCCACGGTCGCCATGGTTTCGTGTTTGCTGTTGTTTCTTCAGTGTTTACCTGTAGGCGACACTGTTGACCCCCCAAAGCATGAGGACTGTACTTTCTAGAAAGGACAAGTTAGAAAATCATCTGGAAGTGGCGGAGAGGAGGAAGGCGGTGGAGATGATGGTCAGGGGAGGCATGAGGTGTCCCAGCGGCCCCTGGTCTGGTGTTCTTGCTGACCCTGTTGACGCGGTCTGCCCATGCGCTGGTGCAGAGCTTGAAGCTAACACACCTGTGCAGGTGGTCACACCTATGCCGAAGTGATTGGCACCCTTGCCAGCTCCTCCCATCCCAACACAAAGATTGTCTCTCTGCATCTTTAAGATCTCCTGCTCCCAAAAGACGGAGCTGAAGAAACAGGCCACACCCATCACCTACGCAAATTTCCAATTGCGTTCATAATATATAAGATTTTCTGAGTTGTCATTACAGTCTTGCGGTTTCTGTATCAGCAGCTTCTCTGTGCATTAGAGAAGAGGGTATCTCTCTGTAGATATAGATAGATAGATAGTTAGATATATAAATATATATATATATATATATGCCAAACTGCCTTACAGGGTTTTTCTCTTTCTTTTTCAGTGTTGTATGTGTAGCAGGCACTTGAGTTTATATGAAGATGTTTGCTTCAGTCAGGGATGGAAGAAAAGAGTCTGTGAGGTGGAAAAGAGGGATGGGGTGAGGCCAGGAGAGAAGAGGCAACAGAATATGGATTTGTGACCACCGGCCACTGCTAGCCGAGGATGTCCAGGTAGATGGGGGTGGCTTTCCCCAAAGCATGGAGGATCTTGTAGATCTCCTTGATGTTCAGCCGCTGCTGCGGTTCCCTCTGCCAGCACCCCAGCATGACATCATACACCTCTTTGGGGCAGACTCGGGGCCGCTCCAAAACACGGCCTTGGGTGATGCATTCGATGACCTGGAAAAGAGGAGAGAACAAGGAAGTCATCGCCAATGCTCAGCTGTGGCCCAGCGGCTCAAGCTCAGCGGATGGCTGTGACTTCAGTGATGCCCTTCAGTGTACCCTGGGCTGGAGATCAGAGTTGCTTATCTGTCCTGGGCATGAGTTCCAAGTGCTAGGACCCAGCACTGGCTGGTCCAGGCCCCTGCTGCCCTCTGCACTCCATCTCTGCTTTTTTAAATTGGAGGATAATTGCTTTACAATGTTGTGTTCGTTTCTGCCACACAACAATGTGAATCAGTCATACACACACACACACACGCAAGAATTGCAGCCCACCAAGTTCCCCTGTCCAAGGAATTTGCCAGGCAAGAATACTGGAGTCGGTTGACATTCCCTTCTCCAGGGGGTCTTCCCAACTTAGGGACTGAACCCAAGGTGTGTGTGTATGTATATGTATATATATATATACACTCTCCCTCTTGAGTCCCTGTCCTAACACCCCCATCCTGCCCCTCTAGGTCATCACAGAGCACCAGGCTGAGCTCCCTGTGTTATATAGCAATGTCCCACTAGCTATCTATTTTACACATGATATGACAACATATACATCAATTCTACTTTTTCTGTCTCTTTAAAAGTCCTTAACACTGGGACCAGCTGCCTGACTCACCACTGCCGAGCTGGGCATCCAGAGAAAGCCAACTGGCCTCACAGGACCTCAGCATCCTTACCTGTAAGACGGGCACCATCCCTTGACCAACTCCTTTAAGGAGCAAATGAGGAGGAAAAGGGATTGTCTGACTCAGTGTACCAAAAGGGAGGCCACAGGGGGGAGCAGGAAGAAGATAACTTATAGCTGGACCATCCCCTGCTGGCAACTCAGGACCCTGCCTGTAATTTGCGGTTCGAGTCCAATTCCCCAGAGTGACTTCTTTGCTGCCACTGGGAATTTTCAAGATTCCATCTTCCAATTCTCAGGTTATTTGAACTTCTTCCTAACTCTCACTATGTAACCTTGGGCAGCTTACTGATTCCAAACTACAGTTTCCTCATTTGAAGAAAAATTGTGATGATAAAAACACACAGAATTGTCTCTAGGCAAGTGCTTTCCTGGTGGCTCAGTGGTAAAGAACCTGCGTGCCAATCCAGGAGATGCTAGAGACTTGGGTTTGATCCCTGGGTTGGGAAGATCCCCTGCAGGAGGGCATGGCAACCCACTCCAGTATTCTTGCCTGGAGAATCCCATGGACAGAGGAGCCTGGCATTGCAAAGAGTCAGACACGACTGAAGTGACAGCATGCATGTATTTCTAGTAGAGAACGTGAAAAGTATTATTGGGTTAGCCAGAAAGTTTGTTTGGGTTTTTCCTTAGGTTGCAATGGAAAAATCTGAATAAACTTTTTGGCCAGCTTCATGTTTCCCCATCGTGATTGGTGACTTCTAGGACTTGATTGCTGGGGTGGATGGAGTGGACAAGGTAACTGGGGGCAGGGGGAGGTAGGAAGCCCATCTCCAAGGCCAATGCCTAACTAAGGAGTGTCAGAAATGACCTCATTTGCAATGCTGAGGCAGGTTAGGTATCCAGGACAGATTGTCTGTTGAGACCATAGAGCCCTCAGCCCAGAGTCCCCTCTCCATCAGAGCCGCCAAATTACATAGGGGCTGTGATCAGGATGCGTTGTGTGCCTGAGTGCATGCAAATGTGCCAGTGTGTGCACACATGGATATGTGTATATGCATTCATGTGTGTGTGTGTGTGTGTGTGTGTGTGCGTGTCTGTTTACTACCACCACCTACCCAGGAAAACAATAGTTTTGTGTGTGTATGTGTTAGCACCTCAGCCATGTCCAGCTCTTTGCAGTCCCATAGATTGTAGCCCACCAGGCTCCTCTGTCCATGGAATTCTCCAGGCAAGAATACTAGAGTGAGTTGCCATGCCTTTTTCCAGGGGATTTTCCCGACCCAGGGATCGAACCCAGGTCTCCTAAATTTCAGGCAGGTTTTTTACTGTTTGATCCACTAGGGGAGCCCACGAAGCACCCTAACAAATGAGTTTACATGTACACACTTTCATTTTTTAGAAAAGGCTCTTAAAATGTATTTTCCTGCTTTGGGAAATGTCATCAGGAGCCATTCCATTTCCAAATGATAACATATTATAAATTTTAAAAAATGCCTTCTTTCCAGCCTTTGATATTTACTTAATTAAATGGTCAGGGTACAGGAAAGCCAACATGAACATAGCTTCCAAAAAGAAAGACACTTTCTGAAATATTCAGATAGGATTTTAATATTAAAAGGTCCTCATGTTCATGTTTTCCCAGAAAACAGACCATAGACTGCAATCTTTTATAGGTCTGCTGGGTTGTGAGACCCAGCCCTTTATTGCTTACAAACTGGACTGAGTTCCCTGGGGCGACACAAGTCACTGAGAAGCATCTTGCTCTGGACCACAGCCCAGGCCTTCTCCAGGCGGAAGCTTTCACCTCTGAGACCAGGCCAATCCACTCCAGAACCCCAAGCAGCCCCCTTTCCTTTGTCTTGAATTTCAACAAGTGTTTGTGTGAGAACTACTGAGTTAATACAGGCTAATGCGTTTCAGAAAATGCCTGGCTTTAAATGTGAGCTGTTATTCAATTTGATGGCTAGCACTTTTTATTAATACTGTACATCAAAAGTATAAAAATGCATAATGTGTATATTACTACACTTACTATTATGATTCATCTTACTCCTGGAAGTCCACACACAACTCTATCAGGTATGTGAAATTTGCCTTCCCCATTCACCTTCCAGCACATCTCTGGGCCTGGCCTGCCTAAAGCCTCCAGGGACACAGATGATCTAGTGTACTAAGCAGTAGGTGTTTCCACAAGACGGCACAGTTGAAAAACCTCATAGTTGTTTTTTGTTTTCACTTTATGTCTTAGTGAAACATTTGTGATTTTTAAGTGTAGCAGAGCAAACGGAACTGTGCCTTGCATCTCAATTTCGACCTCTGATTTCATGCTCTCTTGACAATCACAGCACATTTCCTACAGCTATGCTTTTTTTTTTTTCCCATCAAGAAGGTCGCTTTCTTCCTGCTTCTGCCGACATTTGCTCTGCTAGCTTCAAACCCCACCCAGTGTTTTGTACTCTCTTGTCTAGGTGCTGGCTTCAGATATCTTTTATCAGCCTCTTGCAAGTCAAGGTTCCCACCTGCCCCTTTCTTTCCTTTTCCAAAACTTTTTCTTTTATAATGGGGTATAGCCGATTAACAATGTTGTGACAGTTTCAGGTAAATAGAAAAGCAACTCAGTCATACATATACAAGTATCCGCTCTCCCCCAAATGTCCCTCCCATCCAGGCTGCCCCATAACACTGAGCAGAATTCCCTGTGCTATACAGTAGGTCCTTGTTGGTTATCCATCTAAAATACAGCAGTGTGAACATGTCCATTCCAAACTCCTTAACTATCCCTTCCCCCCACCCCATCACTCCTCCAGGCATCTGCCCCCTTCCGTACTTCTGTGTTTGAGAGCTGGAACCATGGCTGCTTTCCGTAGGTGAAGATCTCCCAGAGAATCACCCCAAAGCTCCACACGTCACTCTCCGTAGTGAACTTCCGGTACATGATGCTTTCAGGGGGCATCCAGCGAATGGGGAGCATGGTATGTCCTCCCACCTAAAAGGGGCCGAGACAGAAGCACACACAGAGTGACCCAATGACCAGCATCAGTTGCATCAGCCTGCACTCTTCATATGCAGATGCTCTCTTGATGCATCTTATTCTAAGATAGTCAAATGGGATGCAACTTTGTGTTAAAGGGCCAGCGGAGATGCTGACCTCCAAGCCCTAGGATGCTAGAGGCAGCTAGGGTAGCAATTAGAGATCACACCTAAGGGAAGGTAAGCTCCTTGGCATGGAAGGTCAAGAAAGATTACAAGATGACTTGAAGTGGGAGAGAGGGTTTCAGAATCTGGTACTACAGTCAAATCTAACCTTGAGAAGGAGTCCAGAGGGAAGTCATAGAATCACTGAGCGAGGCTAACAAGTCTCAGGGGATTTGCAGACATTAGGTTAGACTCCTTGGCCAAGGAGGTTAAAGCACAACGTGGTTGATGTGCACCTACTCTGTAGAACTACGGCTTTAGCGTTTATCTAACAATCTTGAATTTCTCACTGCAACTTAAGGTTTGGAGAGAAGGGGATGGGGAAGTTCAAAAGCATGAGAGATCACATGCTAATAAGAAATTAGGTGGACCACAAGCGAATTCACAACCATTCTTAGCAAGATCGCAAAAGACAGTAAGGAGAGTGTTTTTTAAAGTAACCCAAGGAAGACATTGGGCTTCCCCAGGGGCTCAGAGGTAAAGAATCTGCCTGCAATGCAGGAGACATGGGTTTGATCTGTGGGTTGGGAAGATCCCCTGGAGAATGAAATGGTCACCCACTCCAGTATTCTCACCTGGGAAATCCTATGGTCAGGGGAGCCTGGTGGGCTATAGTCCCTGAGGTCACAAAGAGTCAGACATGACTTAGTGACCAAACAACAACAACAATAACAAGGCCATTCGCCAGCTGTGGATCTACTGATCTGACAGTCCGGGATCTGAGGAAGCAACTGACATTCAGGCTTTACTTCCCTGAGAAAAAACAGTAGGGAAATCCTCACTGCCCAGCAGGTTAGAGATATTATTAGCATAAGTGGAAGAAAATTCACAGCATGTTTTAGAACTCACAAACTAACTGCATCATTCATAAACAGAGCAGCAGAAATTGGAACTTCTGGCTAACACATGAAACTTGTTAGAAAACTGTTTTCCACTGATCGAAAAAGAGCTCTCTATAAATGAACCATTATGATGAGCAATAAATTGAAGCTCTCATTTCTATGATGGGCCAGTTGGAGGAATTATAATCATAAACACTTAAGAAAGAATGAGTTGCTGAAGACGGGCAATCTTGTTACTAAAAAAAGAGATCATGTTTGCATTATCCACAAGGTATTTTAGAAGGTAAATAATAATATGGATTTGCAGAAGTTGTTTTCAACCTGGGGTTTTATAATCAAGACAGTTCTGCATCGAGTGTAAAGACAAATGAAGATGTTTCTTCCAGATAAGTAAAGACTCAGGGAGATTACCACTCATGGCCTTTCAGAAAAATAAAGCAGAAAAATTAATTGAGGATGTACTACAGGAAAATGAAAACACAATCTAAAATATACAATGAGTTGGAGCATAACAAACAGTGCAAAGCAAATAAGCCACAGAAACACAATTTAAATCGAAATAATGGTCAGTACGATGTTAGTTAAATGTAATATAATTACTAATAAAGGATTTCTGTAAGACAGAGATATAAAGTAAACAATACCACTCATAATGCTAATAGCAATATCATTGCTACTATTAACAATATTATGGAATGAAACTTTTAGATAATATTAAAAATAAGTGTATAGAAGAGTAGATAGGGAAATAATTAAAAGCCCAATAAAGACTCTGCAAGGGAATTTATAGTCTTCAATTGTTGTAACAGTTTAACTTTAAATGTGTTTGCTAAAATATTACCGTAGCTACTAAAAGAATAAAAAGAGTACATATGGTTTCCAAAGCAGTTTCAGGAAAATAGAACCAAAAATCTCTAACCAATATAAAAAGACCACAAAAAGAAGGAGGGACAATGGCAAAGAGCAAGCACAAAATGAAAAAGAACTTTAAATTACATCACTATAGACAATGAGAACTAATAGGCTCTACTATCTTTTAAATAAAGAAAAAAATTATGTTAAAAAAACCAAGATACATGTTATCTAGAAAAGACATGTTTAAAAGGAAATAACAGAAAATATTGAAAATTTTGAAAGAATTTAAAAACACAACAAACAGTAAAAAAAATACTCAATATATGATGTGCATAAATTTAATACATTGATACATAAAAATAAAGGGCAAAATATAATTGAATAGATAATATAACTTGAATAGATAATATTCAATATATGTAATACATATAAAAATATAATCCATGTATAAACTATATTATATATATGCTATATAATCAATATAGAATATATCAAAAATTGAATATACATATGAAAAATATTTCAGGAAGTCAAGAACTAAATGAAGACAAAGTGATCTATATTATATCTGAAAGTGATAAAATTTGCTATTATTAAAAATCACAAACATTTTTACTCAAATTAACAGCAATAAAAATGTGTAAAAAAGTAAAATAGGTTATAAATAAAAGAAAACTGACAAAGCTACAATTACAAAGGAAAATTAAAACACTTATTTTGCAAAATGACAGATCAAGAAGACAACAAAAATAAAGATCCATTTAAAAAAATACAAATAATGAGTTTTAATTGATAGATACAGGTGATGTATGTATCTTTCGCCTCCTTAAAAAGTTGCATGTTATTTCCAATGATCTAAAATGTGTTTACAAAAACCAATCTCATATTACCCTAAAAAGAAGTCAGAAATTCTTAGAGAAAAACAAGGTAAACTAAAGTAAAAATAAAAGAAGAAAAGCTATTCTTTCAAAAGATGCCAAAAACTACCAGCATCCTTTCCTGACTAATGGTTCCAATTCATTAGTAATAGAAGGTAAACTTCCTTTATTTAATACACTAAATATCATATTTACTGATAAAACATTGAAAGCATAGAAGGTATCTTCTATTATAGATTTGATGCAAAACTCTGTAAGTGATCCTAGTCAATACAATAAAGAGAGAATACAAACAAGATAAAAATACTGAAAAGGAAGAGTCAAAACTACCATTGTTTGCATATGATATGACAGTTCAAGACAATTAGCTATAAAGCAGTTAGAACCATTGTATGATTTAGTAAACTACCCAGACATAAAATGAATATACAAAAATCAAATTACTCTCACGCACCAGTAGCAATGACTTCAAAAGTCAATGAAAATTAAACTTGTTTGTACAATAGCAACAAGAACAACAACCAAAAAAATGTTTAAAATTCCTTGGTATAAACCTTAGCAGAAAATTTATAAGGTCTATGTAAATATAACTATTAAAAACATAAAAGAAGATCTGAAGACATGGAATGATGTGTCTTTTCCTTGAATAAGAAGACAGTTATAAACTTCTCATTCATCCCAAAATTAATCTAAAAATTCAGCACCATCTAAATAAAACCCTCAATGGCATAGTGTATGGAAACTGACAACACAGTACCAAAATTTATCGAGAGGCACATTTGATTAAAAAAACTAAGATATACTTGAAGTAGAACAACAAGGGATATTTGCTCGATCAGATAGAAAAACACAATATCAAACTACAGGAATGAACACACTGGGTTATTGGCATAGGAATAGACAAATTTCTTTGATCAATGGAACAAAGTAGAGTCCAGAAACAGACTCACGTATCAATACTGGAATTTAATATATGAAATGATGGGTTAGTAATCAGTGTAGGGACAATGAACTATTCATTTAAAAAGTACAGTTAGATACCTACCTCACACCATATACAAAAATCATTTCCAGATGGATTAAAGAGCTAAACATAAAAAACAAAACAATAATCATATTAGAAGAAAACTTAGAAAAGTATTTGTATAACCTCAGGAGAGAAAGGCCTTCCTAAATAAGACACATGTTCAAGAAGCCATAAAGGACAGAATTCAGAGATACCCCTGGTAAAACTTAAATATTTTTGCATGGCAAAATACAAAATAAACATAGTTAAGAAACAAATGGCATATTTGCCATATATGTAAGAAGGAATTAAAATCCATACATTATAAAGCGTTTTCTTTAAATTAGTTAAAAACGCGAAATCCAACAGAGAAATGAAGAACAGATGATTCACAGAAGAGCTACAAATGGCCACAAACACATGAAGAGATGTGAGTTAAAACAATAGACACATTCTTTATCATGTGGGGAAAATGAAGAGATTGGTACTATCCAGTGTATAAAAAGCCTGAGGAAAGAGTTGTTCATTGCCAAGACTGGGAAGCCTTTTCTGAGGGCAGCCTGGCAGAATATGTCCGCCCTAAAGATGTTAAGTGCCTTTCAATTCAGCAATTTCACTTCTAGGAGTATTAGAAAAATACTTGCTTATGTAAGCAAAAATACTTTGTTGAAGATATTTTATTTCATTGTTTTTAAGGGGAGCAATTTGTTCATCATTAAATGTATATGCAGCACTTAAAAGGAATGTGGTAGAGTTATGTACGGTGATATGTAAATTCATCCAGGGTATATTAAATGAAAATGTAAAACATTTTAAATATATATTAGCATTCTCATTTATGTAAAATACATATGCATAAGCAAATATATTAAAAGGCGATAACGTATAAGTCTGCAAATGCATAGAAAAAGGTCCAGAAAGATAGTCGTTAAGCCAGCGATTTCCTCCAGGAAGGGAACGTGAGAGAACTGACCAAAAAGAAAACTCCATCTTTTCTATATTATGTATTTCTATGCTGTCTGTTCATGAGCATGTATGACATTTGAAAATTTTAAAACAATAAAAGGAAAAAAAACAAAACATATGACTAAAGGAAAACCAGTGGACCTAATTTATTTTTGTTATAAATCAAAATTTTTTTGACAAAAATTAGGTTTTTGATGAAAGCTAGTGGAACGGTTTATTGTACCTGGTTTCTTGAGTGAAAAGG